TATTTTATATGTTCTTATTTAAAAAGTAGAAGATACAGTAGACTTGTCTTGCTCAAGGACACAACAATAGCATGCAATCAATTCATCATCAAGTAGTGGAGGTTGCTAATTCTCAAGATTTGACTGCTAAACCCCAAATGTATAACTATTACTTATTATTACAATTTTTAAAAGGTCAATAAAAATATCGAGAGAGATAGCTCAGAGGAATCAGATTTCTCAGGAACAGGGTCATAAACAACAAAAGTTACATATTAAATAGAATGAGATTATCAGAGACAGTATCAGAGGTATTGAGCATGCGTTAGTGTAACTGCAAATGAAGAAATGAACTCATGCACACATTTACTGAGCCACATGTTCCACTCATTATAAGAATTATCTTGGGTACAGACAGTTGCACCCAACAAATTGACACCTGGATTGACAAAACAGTATTAAAAACTGTTCAGATGTAACTATAGCACTTACTTCACTTTTCAACACCTTTCAAAAATGAAAGAAGTTAAAATTACAAAATTCTACATGGCTTAATTAGGTCTATTGATCCCAACAGAGGGAAAAATAAATAAATAAATTAAGTAGCCTAAAGTAAAAGTTGGGTAAAAGTCTTGTGCATGTTCCCCTTGTCACAATGTACAGACCAGGTGCCATAATAATTATTTGTAGTTGTAAAGATAAGAGCTGCCCCAAACTTGACACCTGCATCTGCTCCACTCCTCCACAAGTCACATGACATGAGTAATGTGTGTTATGTGTAGATATAGATCAGTGTACTCTTCTGGGCCACTATAGATGGAAATGTACAATTCTGTATTTTATAATATTTTTAAAAACATCCTCTTGCAAAAGGAAAAGGGAAAGTTTATCTAATCTATGTAAACAGCCCTGGTGTGGAATTTTCTGCCTGCCAGTGTCCTGTATGCTTCCTGTAGGTGGATATGGTATGAAAAGCAGCATCATGTGACTGCCGCAAATCTTATCGGCTTTTGTAGCTGCTGATTGACACACTATATGTCTGACACAAAAGCTTGTTTCTGTGTTATGCAATATTAAAACAGTGTGGTCACCTCACACTCGATAGGTCAGGAAACGCGTAAGCCACTCTAACTTTTACAAACTATAATTATGCTGTCTGCTATATTTATTGATAGGTGTTTTCTTGCTTTTCAGGAAGCTGCAATCATTTACTGTACTGTAGAGATATATTAATAGCAGGCTATTTGCTGCTGCCAACAATTAGGCCTATTAACAAATCAAGGATGGGCTTCACTGAAGGTTTACAACTTTATAACTGCTACTGTTACTTCTACTACTTTGTAGATCTTTAAATATTACAGCACGTCTTTATATTAAACCATAGACTTTTTAGTCCTGTATATTATTTAGCCTAAATTTATGATATAGTCTTCTGGGATAAAATGCGATTTAACAGTAAGAAACTATGTGCATTCATGAAAAATACCTTCGTTATTTCTGCTACTAGCCCTTACACTTTGAAATAAAAAGCTGACCTCTCTCCCGGTTGCCCCTTGTCCTGACCCGACTCTGCACCCTGCACTTTTTGTCTTTGCTGCCTGTTCCAGCCGCGACCACGCCCACTTCTGTAGCGCATGTGTGAGTCCTCTCATCTGCTGCTGTGCCCCTCTCCTCCTCATCACAGGAGCACGGACAGGTACTTGCTTAGCCCTACTGTTGTATTATTTTCTGGGACGAGATGGACTGTTAAGAGTTTTGGGATTATATCGTCCTGGACTCACTGGGCTGTTTTGCGTAAGGGGTTCGTGACGCTGACTGTATCAGATCAGGATCAGGATTTGTGAGTTATAACCTCTTATATCACCTCTTTAATACCATTCTAAAGCATCCTATGTGTACTTTTCTGTCAAAGTCTGTGATGGCGTTGGTGCGAAAATGACGAGTGCATGTGCGTGTGAGTGCGTCCCACTACAGTTACGGCGGATTTAGGCTTGTCAGTTACTAAAATGTTGCTTTAAAATCCAGGACTAGAAACGTAATTTGGTGTTGCTCATTTATGGATTTCTTAACAGAGAAAACTCCAAAGTAATGTCCCTTTCTAGCAGTGTGTAGGTCTAAATGAAACAAACCTTTTCACACGTATTATTAATTTAAAGCAGAACTCATTCATAATTGTTTTGACACCTGTGTTGTTTACTGATTTCAGGGCTCCGCCTTAACTGACTGTGCCATCAAATAGTTTTGTGATATGTGTCTTGCTTTTGTTGCACGTAAAGCAGGAACTGATTAACAGATTACAATGACAATGACAACAGATGACAATTATGCAGTGTCATTATCCAGTCTACTTGAGTCATTTCAGTTGTATAATATGTCTAGAATGTTGCCGCTTGACTGCTTATTGATTTTCTGCAGATTTGGCCACATAATCCTAAGGCCCTCCCTGTTAAATTAAAAAATATTTAAAAAAAATGTATTATTGTTTTCTTATATATTATTATTTTCTGCTCACTTTAGAAAGAACCATGTTTTAACTTTATCTATTGCAATTCTATGGGAACTCTTTAGAGCACTGAGAATAGCATAAAAAGTGTTAATATTATTGCTGAGATTATTATTTCTTGAATGTAGTACTTTTTTATTTGTAGCTAGACTAAACTATTGCTTTTGTGTTATTATAGGCTGTGTAGTCTCCCACAGGATGGAGGCTGTGTTGAATGAGTGGATTTGGCGGTCTGAGCTCTGGCTTCCTCCGGGGACACGCTGGGAGGACCTGGACATGGACCTGGAGCAGGGGCAGTTACCTCAACCGCGGGACCTTACCTACACTGTTCCTTTGGCACTTGCCTTCATCGCCTGCAGATATGTCTTTGAGAGGTGAGAGCAGACAGCCTTCAACACAAAGCTAATGATGACAGATATAACAAATATTAATTTTAACAGTTTTTCTTTATGACTATGGTTCCGTCTACATTTTTAACTCCTGCTTGTTACGACACTAGTCAGAGTCTTCCTTCCTTGTATGTAACAACTATTAGAAAATCGTATCTCTTTGTGTGCAGTTACCTGTTACCTGTTACCTGTTACTGTGTGCAGTTACCTTAGGACTGGCAAACACAGCACACTGACTCCTCATGCCTTATATATGATTGGTTTTGATGCTTTGAAACATGGAGCACAATTACCTTTTATTTTTTTATATACCATAATATTAGAATATTCTCTTTAATATTTTAATCTAGTGTGTTAATAATGTTAATACAAGCACAAAGGTTGGCGGTTCGAATCCAGCTCTCAACATAAAAAAAACATCACAGGTTGAGCAGTCAGATCCACTGACCCACAGGTTGGCTGGTGTGATTCCAGCTCCCACAGATGAATGCTGTCGTTGTGTCCTTGAGCAAGACACTTAACCCACCTTGCCCACAGTGTCTGCGTACACTGGTGTGTGAATGTGTGTGTGAATGGGTGAGTGGTTCCTTGTTGTAAAGCGCTTTGAGTGCCTTGAAGGTGGAAAAGCGCTATAGAAAAATGTGACCATTTACCATTTACCACAACTGAGGATAGGGATGGATACCATTAACTGGTGAGCCGTCATCACACAGAGTGAATTGGAATTGTTGTAAACTGGTTTTAGTTGCAATATTTTACACATGGGGGGTTTCTAATGGACGTTATATTGGAAAATTGTCACCCTTCTCTCTGTAACTCCTGTTTTGAGCCTTGTCATTTTAGTTTTAACATGTTTGTATTAACCTAAACCTGGTGTTTTTATTTAGCTATTTTGTTTACTTGGAACTGGCTCCAAATTTGCCTTTATAACCGCTAGCCTTGTAAGCTTCATTTGACTGGAGCTGAACGCTCCGGGTGATGCCACGCTGCTTTAGTCCACTTTTTTTACAGTCTGTGATGTGACAACATAAAGTGAGGAGCTTATTCAGCTTTCTGAATGCATAGTTGAGAACCAAAGCTCAATAACCTATGTTATGTTTTGTAAATAAATTAACATTACATGCATGTATGCACTCTAACACACATAAAACAATACTTATTTCTGAATATGCTGTTTGCAGTAAAATTCCTTAAGATATTATGTGTTAAATATTATCTAACTTATGACAATAATGCAACCAAATAGTATTAACATTTGTATCTTGACCTACAAACTTGTAAAACCATCCCATAAAGTTTTTTTTGGATATGGGCCAACAACTGTAATTCAAGTATGTTATGAAAATAATCATTAGCCATAGAGCACAGGTTAACTTTCTTTATATTAGACTTGTATGCTAAGATATTTATCTTATTTATTTAATGTTGTTATTAAACCAGTAACTGATGACCAGATAGCAGGTTTTGTTTTGCAACACAATACATGTACTTTTGTAACCTGTTGCTTCTGTAGACGTAGTAGCAGGTGTTTTTCAAGGTCCTTCCTGGTTTTGTTGTTGTTATTGTAGCCGTAGGTAAATGAACTTGAACGTATTATTTACTTGTGTCGTGTCAAACA